CCAAGTCTTGAGGGACTTCTGAAACATTAACAGGGATGGAGCTAACCTGACTTCAGAGGGGGGAATGTTCCACAAGGTGGGTCCTACGGCAGAGAAGGTCCACCTCCTGGGTTCCACCAGATATAAGTCCCTGGCAGATGGTACTCACACCATGCCTTCTCTGCAAGATCTAATGGGACAGGCTGATGTAATTGGGGAAAGGCAGTCCCTCAGATAACCCAGTCCCATGCAATGAAGGACTTTCAAGGTTAAAACCAGCACCATGAATTAGACCTGGAAACAAACTAGGAACCAATGCAGCTTGCAGAACAGAGGTGTGATATGTGCTGTTCTGGGAGCACACGTCGCTGCATTTTGTACTTGCTGAAGCTTCCAGATACTCTTCAAGGACATACTCACGTACAGCACATTAATCAAATCTGGAGGTGACTACGGCATAAGTGACTGTGACGTTATGTTTCTGTTAATGAAAATGCTGGGCTTCTAGCCCAAAAGGCATTTGTTTATTAACAGGTTCATTAAATTTACCACTCACATCAGAGAGATCAGGCTCAAATCCAGATAACAAGCCATTAAGGGCACGGGCCCTCCTTAAAGGCAGAAGCATATTCAGCAGAACTGAACTGGCCAACTTCCTTAAAGTAATAGAATGTCTATGCATTTTGCTGACAAAATAGTTCCCTATCCATGGGCTAACCAATCAGTTCTATCAGTGATCTCTCCAAAATCTTATCAAAGCTAGATTCTACTGTACCTATCTTGATCCTTACCAGATATGATTTTGCCTTACTTAGAGATCATACATCCTTTGAAAGAGCTTGCACATCTTTTGAAAGAGGTTCTTAGAAATATGTAGGGATTCATATGAAACCCCTTTTTTTAATCATTACAACAGACTTCTTGTTCTTTATTTGCCCGCCACTAGTATTAAAATCTCATGTCCAAAAAGTTTTTGTTTGCCATGGATATTATTGATTGGTGGGATATTCCTGAGATTACCGCATGGGTACATAAATTTGCAGAGGTAACTGTCAACAATTAATCAATAACCCTAACCCTAACTCATTTGGTGGGAAAAAAGTGCAAGACAGCTGAAATAAGCCGACATAACTGATTGCTACACAAAATTTATTGGTGGGGAAAAAAATTTTGGTGGGCAAAAAAAAGAACAAGAGCTGACATTTCTTTATCCAGACTCAGACAGCTGCTTTGGAAAGTGTTCTTGACTGTCTGTACATGGATCTGCACCAACTTGCTGCTAAGAAGAAAATTAAATAAACTGGTTATGCATGAGCGCACATATGTAGCAGTTTATTAAACACTGATGCAAGCTTAGAAAAAGATACAGCTATTGTAATTATCCAAAAAGCAATAGTGCATTTGTATTGCACTACTTGTATTGCAAAGCCCTTCTTTCAGAGATTTGCACAACCATATTACTTACCTCTACACTGGCATACTTATCAGTACCACTGTTGCAAATATTTCTCCCGTTAGTTTTGAATTCAGTGAAGAGAGAATGTTACTTTAACATTTACTTATTCATTCTTAATGTATTGGCATAGTTTGTTTCTTAGAATTATAAACATAAAACACATAGGTATCATAAGCACAAACGGAAGAAATGCTAACTACGTATGCAAAAATTATACTAATACCTTTGCAAAACATTTTAGTCTAAGTGTTTCTCCTTCACACACACACAAGTCAAATTCTCCAGTTGCTGAAGAGGAAAAACTTGGATGCCAAACAACTTCACACTCTAGCTCTTTACTTGCTTCTACTATACCTAAATATAAAAAAGGGAGAAAATACTACAACTGTTAAAAATATAAATATTATGGGAGATGAATAATCATTTGAAAACTAATTGTAATATGTTGCAACATTCAGTCATTTAACAGAATTAGTTGATAAAGTTGTTCTATATTAATTAGAACTCTATTTTTAATCAATCTGGTAATACCCCAAACTTGATTTGCTATTTCAAATAATTCTTTAATGTAGGTTTGTTTGCAGCCAATATGTGCTGTTTCTTATTACCATGCAATCCCTAAAACTAATTGCCAGATGGAAGATGCAATTTTTACTGAGATAAGGGCTGGAAAACAAAGGTTTCCCTTTCCCACTCAAACTTCAGCATACACAAACACTAAGAATACATTTATTAAAAAAATGATTGCTAATCATTAATATAATGTACAGTTAGACATCTACTCAGGGTATAAGACAACACAAATCCATGTATCCATATTAGGTGGTCCTTTTATATCATTTTATAAGCCATCCAATGTCTTTATAATTCCCCATAATTTTTTGCCAGTCCAACACACGGAAAAAGAACTAGATTGGGAAAATCTCTTTATGTAAAGCACCCAGTGATTCCCCTTGGCTCTCTCATAGAATGAAAATCTCTTTTAAAGCCTATCACTGAGTACAGGACTAGTTGATAATTCATATTTAATGCCGGATCACATTTTTTTCTAATTGATTATTTTTCAAAAGAAGTATTAAACACTTCAGAATTTATGGCAATGATTCATAGATTAAGGAAATTTACTAAAATTCTAGATGTAGAATAACTATCTATAGCCCTGTGTGTATTTGTAGAACAGTTAAGTTCTAAAAATAAGTATACCAATAAAGAAAACCATATTAATAAGAAATATTGATGTCACACATATACAAATTTAATCTATCCCTAAACTGTTCCAATAAGTAAACAACTTCAGTAATCCTTTGCATTTACAGTGGTACCTCTAGTTACGAACTTAATCCGTTCCGTGACTCTGCTTGCAACTCGAGTCGGTCGCAACTTAAGGCAAATTTCCCCACAAGGTTCAATGTAAATACGGCTAATCCGCCCTCCGAATTTGGTCGCACCACAAAGCAAATTTCCCCCATAAGGTTCAATGTAAATACATACGGTTAAACAGTTCTGAAACATATG